TTTTTTTTTTTTTTTTTTTCTCTCGTTTGTTGTTATATGTTTGTTGTTCCTTCAACTAACAGCGATCTCAACCTTCTGCTTTTTGAACCTATTCTATGTACGCATCATCAGTGCTTTTTCTCTGCTCCGTACGATAATGCCTAAAAACTGACTTACATGCATAAAGTTATAGCAGCCTAAACCATAACGTTAACATTACCCAGCTTAAATCAACAATTGTAGATACCCTAGCAGCAGTTGCTATTGGATTCGCATTCTCTTTGTTCATAGATTAGGTTTAAGAACACTAAATTTAGCCTTTTATCAGCAGCATTTGAAACGTCAAAACTGGTCAAAAAAATAACATAATTTTTAGTTTAAATTAGGTGTAAAAAGTTTTTTTTTTTGCAACAGACTCTGTGTATAAATTTATGTTAACAGTGCATTAATCGGTTCTTCCAATCTTGGCAAAAGACTTTTTTTTTTTGAGCAAATGCTGCTTTCACAGAAAACACTTTTTACTTTTTTCTGGAGTGCTCGAACACGAAAACGATGTTCCTCTGCGATCATAACATAGAGTTGTTGTGATCTTACTTAAATGAATGAATGGGAGAGATGAGCAAATGGGAACATTTTCAGTGACTATTCTTGGATTTTTAACAAAGAATTTACGCTATAGCTGGTTGCTGTGATAAAGTATTGAGAAGGAAGATAAAAATAAAATTCTGTTTCCATGGGGATTTTTTTTTTACAGTGAGCGCGACATTTTGGTGATGATAATTAGGAGAAGGAATTAACTGGACAAGCTGAAACCAGTTGCCACCAGGTTGAAGCCGTCACCGAGATGTAATTTTGGCCAACTGTTGCAATTGTCTGACCACTTGTATGAATGAACAGGAAGCGGATGAAGTCCTTGAAGATGGAAAATTGGGTTGTGAGAGTTTTGACAGTTTTGTAGAATAGGCTAATTTATTGCTTTTGAAAACAGGGATTCGTTTTATACTTTTTTAAATTATAAAAATTGCTTTCATTTTTAGTGCTTAGAAACCATTAAATTGGTGTAATTGTGTAATTTTTTTCAAATTTTTCTTTTTTCCTACTTTTTTTTTGTTTACTAAAGCAAGAAAAAATTATGGTGGAATAGTTACGCCTAAAAAGTTGCTATTCATTTATTTTCAGTAACAATTGAAAGGACAACAAATGTTAGTACTATTTCGTGGGTTTGAGTTTTTTTAAACAGTAGTCAGCAAAATAATAAGAAATGTAGGAAAAAAAGAAAAGTAATGTTTTTTTTGATAGCAGTTGGTTAAGTAGTTTTGAACTTAATGAAAATTACAGTTGCTAGGCGTCATTAAGGTCAAAGCTAAGTAAGCATAACATGGAGGGACAAGTTACTTTGTCAGGAATGCGCTAGCATATTCCATATTGTTGCTGTTTAAAAATTTTTTCCTCAAACTAAGACAGAATAATCTGGCTAAGTTTTGAGTTTCAACTTTAAAAGTATCTGGCAAATAGCTGACAAGTTTAGTAATCGAAATCATCACCAAGTTTTTCTTTCCACATCACTGCTCTATCTAACTTCTTTAATTTATCTTCTGCTTAGTATTTTAATTAACATTAATAGATTTATGGGGAGCCATAAATGATTAATTATTACAAATGCTTTTTTTACTTCCTAACATAGAATTGGCAAAAAATTAACACTTTCTTTGATGTTCAGACAATCGCAAATGTAGCGAAGTTGGAATTGGTATTTGTGACAACAGTTTTGGAATTGAGTAGCTACGGTTCAAAAATCTTGAGGCACAGCTTGAGTTCTTATTTATTAATTTTTTATATAAAAAGAATCATTTTTTAGTATTAAAGACTTTAAAACTTTAGCTCCCTATATTTGTTACTCATTTTGCAACGTCTTACAAGTCTTTGTCTTTTTCTTTGAGAAGTTATGGTTAGTTTTGAAGACGAATAGAATATTAATAAATTAGGCTATTACTGCAGAAATTTTAACTCGTATAACTGTACTTGTTTAACTAACATAATATAAACTGCGCAAAGCAGTGTCAAGTTTAACTATTCTTAGATATCGACAATAACATTAAAGCAAGTTTTTGGCCCCTCATACAGACTTACTGATACGTGCAAAGTGGTAGAGTGGCAGCCTTACTGTTTTCCAAACGAGAACCAGAAGAAAAAATGAAGAGATAAGCAAAGAACCTTCCCTACCAGCTGTTCCTTCAAATCCATTAAAGATTTAGTCTCTTGTGACTTAATACATCTATTTGCTTTCAACTTCATAACGAACAGTTCTCTACACTCATTAGTTCTCAAGTTTTAGAGATTTACGCACAGTTTCAAGTACACCTGAGGTTTCTTTTTACAGTGTACGAAAAATATGATTAACTTGAAATGTATTACTGATAAGTGTTTGTGTGAAGAAAAAAAGTAAGGAAATGTGATCTTACCTTTTGGCGGCAGTAAAGGCGCAAAACTTGTCCGCAATCAAAGAAAAAAAAAACAAATTCCCAAGTATAAATGACGGGTGACAAGCTGAATTATTTCTAAATCACTTGGAAGTAAGTGCTAGTCCCGTTAAGGTGTAATGGAAAATCAATACTTAGGTTGCCAACGGACACAAAATTTCATTCATTTCACTTTTGCAACTACCTTGCCACTTTCACTCTTCCGCACTGACAAATCCGTGCTTTGAATTTTTATCCCGTCTCCAGCTGAAAAGTGAAAGACATTTTTGAGCGGGTACCTGTTGCAGTGGAGTAGCCAACACCTAATTTGGTCGCTCACTTTTGCCCATTTATTATTTGTTGTGATTGAACTATTTGATTTTTAGTCTTTTTTTTTTAATGAAGAACCGGGATGCAGTATGCATATGCATTTCTCTGAATTGTTGACAGCCAAATTCGAGAACTAAAATTTTAATTTATGGGTGAATGGTAATACTTAAAACCTTCTGTTCATCCGGAACAAAAGTTTTTTTATTTTGCCGCTAAGCCTGAAAATTCCGTTCACTGAAGAAAACCACACCAGTTCTGACAAAAAAAAAAAAAAAAACTTTCTATTTTTATACAAGACAACATAGTTTTATAAATAATGACTGGTGTAGATAGAAGATTTATACAGTTTATTCATTTGAGCTTCGCCATAACTATAACGCCAAGGTCATGTGTCCATTGGTAAGTTTGGATGATACTGATGCATATGATTTCGAAAGCTGGAAGAAAAAGAAACAAGTTACTATTTGTTTCAATGATGAATGTCACGCTTGCAGTAAAATTTTGTTTGGGGAAGCTGTAAAAGCCACAATGAACCATCTTAAATTTCAAGATGAAAAAAAAAAAAAATGTATTAATAGATGTAGTGCAGCTCACCCAAACCTTAGTAAAAATGAATAAAGAAAAGTTTGGTATATTTGGCTTGTGAGTTAAAATAGTAAAACTGTAATCAAGACAAGAGTAATTGACTAATTGATAGTTCAAAGCACATTTTACTGAGAGGAAAAAATACTGGTTTTCAAGACCTACTTTGCAATACAGTCCGTTTGGAAATCCCGTTGGCAAGATTCTGTGTAAGCAAAACGATAAAGTACCTAGAGATTGAAAAACATCATTTACAAATCAAATGTACCAATTAATTTGAAGAAATGGACTCACTAAGCAGACAAGAAGATGAAGGAAAAGTAGATAAACGAGAAAAAGTACACGGGATTGACCACTGCCCATCATCCATCGTCCCTAAAAACTCTTCTCTATTATTTACCAATTAATATTATGGCCATTATAAAAATAAAGATCCTTCTCACTAACTAGTTGTAATGCTGCTTTATCATACGGCTTCAGCTGACTGTATTTTCTTTGTCGTTCTTGAGCGTTAAAGTTTTTGAACGGATCAATATGCTTTTCGTATTCGCCCTGATACCGTGTCTCAATATCGTTCATCTCCATACGAACATCAGCTTTATTCTACATCACACAGAAAAAGAATGATATTAATCGACTGTTACAACAAAGTAAGCAAAATTCTTCACAAGCAGCATTACAAACAATGATTTTAAAATCAACTTTTTTTGAGGTTCTCTGATTTTCTCAAAATTGTGGATATGACATTATCACCTCTGCCAAAAACCTCTCCGAAGCAAACAAAAACCAATTCAATTGAAAAGAAATCTCAGCAAACAGCTAGAACTAAACAAAGATCTGGAGCAACACCGATGATCACGTTTATCGTACTGAAATTGTTAAAACTCTTTTTCAAAATTTAGCAATAGCAGCTCTCAAAAATGCTAATAGACGATTCCAAAATAATGGTAAATGAGTGGTAACTGCACTGCAGAAAATCAAAAAAACCGAAAACAACTTGAAAACTAAAACTTCAAGCAAGCAGCGCCAATTGTGAGTATCGTTAAAGGAACATTCATGGAAGCCTAACGCTTTTCACTGGTTAAAACTGGACGAAAGAGCAGAGGAGTTGCAAGGAGCACTAGTTCAGAGAGTGACTACCTTTGATCATTAACAATAGACGCCCCCTTCGAGTACCAGTAATAATCAATAAGCAATGCTCCAAAAAAATATTCTAATTCTAAGACGACTAATTGTGCCAAACCACATGAATGTCAAGCTTTGCATCACACAACGATCAATTCAAAATGATACCTGTTTCATTTGATAGTTTTGCAAAAATCTGATTTTTCCATACAACTGTACGTTGTCACTATGTGCTTTGTCCAATTCGCTCTGAAGAAACGCACTGTGTTTCTTCTCTTCAGCTACTTCATTCTCCATTTCTTTTACTCGAACTTTCAAACGATTTCTTTGCGAAACAACAATCGTAAGCATGTTTTCTGTAGAATCAATTTTGAAATCTTTGCTTATTTTACCGAATTCCGACGCAATCAAACTAGCGGCTGAATTCGATTCAGGAGCCACAATTTTACCGGTCTCTTCTCGCTGAAAAACCACATAATGATGATGAACAAATACGTAACAACACTGTTACAGCTATTATAATCTTAAAAATTTGGAATACATAGCTAAAAACTAAAACTACTATAGTTCACCGTGGTTTTCTTTTTTACGAAATTTTCTTTAAAATAAAAGATACTATTTTTTAGGCGCAATAATAACACCAATATTGTCAACCGTATGACTGGTTAAATCTTTGCTCCATACTGAAGCATGAGAATCTAAATTTCCTGAAAAGAAAAAAAACCAGAACAGTAATTAGTTACAGAGGATAGGTGTTGTTCATTAATTGCGTTCACAGACAACAGATCGTTCTCCAATTGCGCAACCAACTTTTGAAGACGCTCCACTTCAGCTGCGTTTTCATTCCTGGATCGTTCAAATTCCGCACATCGTTCTGTACAAAATTAAACAAATTAAAATTTCTAGTATTACTGTACCGCTTAAAACCATCTCTTCAAACATAATGAAATAAAAAAAAGAAACTGAAACAATTAAAAATTTTCACTATTTTACCAACCCAACAATATTATAAGTGCATCAGGTATTTTAGTTCGTAATATCTTTTTGAACGACAAAAGGAGCAGCCAAAATAAAAACAGCAAAACAAACCAAAAATAGCAAAAATTTACATTTTTAAAGCTGTAAATGTTACACTTTGCCGCTTGCAGAATACTGTTTGAAAAACAACAAAATTTATTAATACTTATGCATATCCTTTTTAAAGCTTTGAGTGATGGTTGGCAATTATATTATTATAATGCTTTGATACACACACGCATACAAAAAAAAAAAAAAGGAAAACAAACAAGATCAAAAGCGAAAAAAGTGGGAAAAAAACAACGTTTCACAATGCCGTTTAAGACTCACAATTACGTATGGTGTACAAAAGCCTTACGAAATGAGATCAATTAGTAGGAGATTAAGTTAAAATGACTAAGCAAAAAAAATGATAATAATAAAAACAAAAATAAAAACAAACAAACGAGATCTGTAGCGAACAGCCAAGTAAGTGAAAAGGGAAAATGACAATAACAAATAAAGCGAATCATAAATAATTCAGTAACAGTTGCCTAAAGCATAGACCTGAAACTTTAATGGTATCAATATTAATATCAATGACGAGTTTTTAACTGTCAAAAACTGAACAGTTAAAACATAAAAAGTGAAAAATTTTAATTGTGAAAATTAGAAAGTTCTTCAAGAACTGTAAAAGAGAAGAAAATACTATCTGAAATGTCCATATTGCGAAAAAAAATACATATCTGATCACCTATAAAATAATTTAATTATTATTTTATATTGAAACTATACCCATTAGTAAAAGAAAGCCAGTAATATTACTTATATTATGCAACAATAATAAAGAAACTAGTGATTTGTCAGTTTTAACTTTAATTTTCTTTGGAACTCACGATCAACCTCATCGTTGCTACTGCACAATCCAGCTGGTTTTCTTCATTACACTTTTTCACAGATTCTGCATTCGTTAATTTCGTAAACATGCGTTCAGTTAATTTTGGCAAAGACTTGCCTACGCCAGTCGACTTTGAAGCCATTTCAAGCAGTTTACTCATATCCTGAATTTTTAAATCAGTTGGCTGTGTCCAGAAATCCAACAACAAAAAGTGTTAAAACTCAAAGGGCTTATTTTATCATATTAGTTTATTTGAAAGAAACATTTTCAAGAGTACGCTGAAAAATTAAACTGCCTAAATTTTTTTGAATAACGGCTAAGTCAGATTTCTGATGACCAACAGCTGTAAAATAATTGGAGAAGAAAACACTCCAATATACCAGTCCTCCTCAAAGCGTCATTTGGACTACAAATAAACCAAAAAAATTCTTAAAAAATCAGAACGCAAAACTCAGCAGTATGAAAAGTGATAATAATTTCCTCTGTCTCTGTCCCCCAAAAGAAGAAAGTCCTATTATACGAAGGGAAAAACCAGGGCTACTGAATCTTTTCACATCGTAGATGAATTTGCTTCACGGCGAGAAAAAGAAAAACCCAGTAGGAATATTGTATTTCTGAAAAGCAGCATTCAGAAAACTGGAAAGTTCCTCCGCTAATGAGAGTAAAATTGCTCCGTCGCTTTTAATAAAGTATAAAATATTTCGACTTACGGTATCTCTGGGCAACAAAAAGCTACATAGGGGAAAGACACTAAATTATCAAAGATAACACTGATCTTCAACTATATTCTAACTTTCTATTCCGAAACATTACAGAATGATCACTTAATGCTAACCTTGAATGCGTAAACTAGCTGTTGATATAAAACTTATTACTACTCTTTCTGACCAAAACAGCTACAATGCTTTTATTCACGAAAATTTTTAAAACGAAACAAGTCTTTCACTACACTCTTCTAATTCAAATAAATTTTTGTCTAAGGTTTATCATATTTTAAACAGTGATAACAAAAATACAGTAACTCACCTTCTCCCAATTTTCTCCATAACCTATCCAACAATTTTTGAAACTTCCTGTCTTCAGTGCTTTACCATCTTTAAGCCCAGCCTACAACGAATTAAATGTGCAACTGTTAGGTGTTGTTCATCAAAGATAACAACTCAATCGTGAGACGTCAATATAAGACTAAGCACCAGAAACTTAAACTTCAAGACTAACTTCAAATGTGTTTTCCAGTTCATAGCAAAAATGATTTTAATCTTGAGTTATTCTATCAAAGGCAGAAAAATAACAACTTTAGGGTCAAAACTAGCAGAACAAAAGCAGTTTACAGGCTCCAAAGACCATTTAAAAAAACAATTGCTGTTTCCTGACCAACCAAAAAAGAAAAAGTTTATAACAGAAATGATTACAAATTACCTTCTGGCGAGTTCGGTAGTTATGAAACCAATTACTGACAGTTCGTGGGTTTAATGCAAGTTTTTCTGAGAGCTGTTCAATAGTCCTTTGCGACGGGTGATGATCATGAGCAAATACAAATTTCAGAGCCTCCTTTTGCTGCTCCGTTATGATAGTGCGCTAAAAATGACAAAATAATAAATGTCCTATCCATATAAAGATAAAGCCAATTTTATTAGTTTTTCAAATCAAACGTGCAGCTATTAATATTTTAATTTTTAACACTCGCTATCTTAAAAGTCTTTATTAGACTTGTTCAACTGTTTAAATTTATACAAAAACCAGTCAGACACCTGTGATTTCCTCGGTGGTTCCAGAGAGGCATAAGCATCTTCTGCAGATCTTTTCTTCAGGGGAACTATTTTGTTGTTAGACAGGTCCGTTTCAGAAACCATGTAAGAAACTGACGAACTTTCGGAAGATTTTGCAAGATTCTGAGATCCATGGACGTTTTCACTACAATCGAGCCAGTGTTTCATCTTGTTAAAAGCTTCTCGATCTCGAAAAGATAAATCACAATCATCCGAAATTTTTAAAAGCCTCGAAACTTCATCCTGATCCACACCAAGCAAAAGTTCTCCAAACACCTAAAAAGAGCGAAAAACGCTTTGAGAAAAGAAAAAAATGTTTTAGCCATAAAAAATAAAAAAGCAGACTTTCAGCTCTTGGCGAATTTCAAAACTTGCCTTTTGAGAAAACCCATAATTTTCTAATCGCTCTTTGACTAACCGACTAATTTCGGAGACATTAAGCTGTGCCGTTCGTCTTACCTCCTCCAATGGTTTTACTTGGGGGAGAATGCTTTTACTATCTTCATTCTAAATTTGACGATTTAATGCTTTAAGTAAGAAGTTGGAAACAAATAAGATTTAAAAAATAACCAACTTTTTCTGCTTCTTTTTCAACAGTCGAATCTTTCATTTTCAATAAGCCTTCAACCGCAACTTTTCTAGATTCGTAATCGCTGTCCGCACGTGAATTACTTGTTGAGGCGCATTCGCTTTTCGCTTCTTGTCGATCATTAATTTCTAAATATCATGTAGGTGTGTAATAAAATCATAAAAAATAAAAAAAGTGTCCTGATAAACTGTTTTTGTCACAAAAACAAAACATTAACTCTTAAAAACAACCAGAAACTAAAAAGAAAATCAGTAGTTTTGAATCTATGCTAATCTGATTTAATAAAAAAATACCGGAGGTGCCCTTTGACTCAAGTGTCGCGCAGTTATCTCCAGAAGGCAGTCCAGTTTCATTCAAAAATAATTGCATTCGTATAAACGGCTCACGTCCTTTTTGGGTGAGAAGCATCCACGGTTTCGGCCTCGCAAGTAAGTCAGAGACAGAACCCTGTGAAAGCCCCAGAACATGTTCACCAAACTGTCTTTGAGAGATCGAATGAGCGCAAAGATATTCTCTTACCTAAAAAATATGAATCATCTTACACCAATATTCGTCAAAATATCCAAATCTTCTCTATTTTCACTTAACTTTAGAGACCATTATTGCAAATATTAGTGAAAGAGTTCTTCATAAGTCCGTCCAATAGTATTTTTATTTAAAAACTTACACGTCTAACAATATCATCAGTATCCAGAACTGGGTAGCGTTCTAACTGTTCCTGAGTTATGGGAGCCAAACCTGACCGATTTCTAAAGGAGAATAGCGGACCAGGTACTTCATTTGTAGATAGATTTAATCCTGATGATGAACAAAGTGAAGATGACGCAGTGGAAGGCAGAACAATATTTGATCCAGCAGATGAGTCGGACGCAACATCCGCCTTAAAATAGTAGCACAAAAGTAAATCAAAAAAAAAAAAAAAAA